GTCTCCAGCTCTGTCTGTACTACATTCCTGCACAGAGATGTCTATTGCACTCTCCATTCTCACTGCTCTGTGAATGCAAATGCCTCCAGAATCTTCACTGCGTGTCAGTCCACCCCACTGTTGATTTATATATTAAAGGAAGGGACAAAATTTCTTCCATTTTTATTAATGACAGAGGATGCTGATCTTGGAAGGAAGAATATTAGTTTTACAAATTCCAGAAGACATGTGTCTGGCTGTTTTCTGGTACAGCATTTCAGCAAGAAATGCAAACAGCGAGAAAAGGCATAGAAAATAAAAAATTACCATAGGTTAAAGATTCTATTTCCGTCCTCGTCTCTGTCCCTGTACTCTGCAGGAACAAGACGTGAGTACACATAAAAGATTTAATAGCCGTTTAGAGAGCTTGTGTGAAACTCAAACACTTTTTCCCACAATCCTAAGAAAGATCCATCATTCACATGTGTTTACTTTAGGTAAAAAGCTCCAGTCACTTTGTGTGTGTATACATGTGTGCATGCGTGCGTGTGAGTGTGTGTGTGTGGTCCAGGTATTACTCATGCTGTGGGGACCTAAATCTGTTTACACAGTCACATTATGGAGACTTGTCTTCCTTGTGTGAAAAAGAAAGTCCCTGAAACGGAAATCATAATATTTTATGATGAAGACATGTTTTAAGGTTAGGTTTGGTTTAAGTTAGGTTAAGTTTAAGAATTAGGTTTAGGCCAGTAGTATTTATGGTTAGGGCTACAGTAAGTCTCTAGAAAAATCTGTATTAGTTAATGTAATGTCCTCTTAGGTTATGGAGACACAACTGTGTGGAAAGATAACTGTGTATTCCAAACCTTTTGTGATGACACAGTGATGATCAGGACAAACAAAACCAAGAATGACATTGTGTGAATCTAATTCCATGAATACACACTTGATAATATCACAAGTTCTATTTTTACAAATACTCCCATGTTACTGAAAGGGTCTTAATACCACAGTAATATTTCCTGCTGCTTCTTTGCTTTGCATTTTCTTTTCAAAGTGAAACACTTAGGGAACTGTGGGGTGGGGACTAAACAAACAAGAGCACAAGATCCGAGGAAGAGCTGAGGTGTTCCTTTCCTGATTGGAGCCTCCAGCATAGCACAACAGAGCAAACGATGGTTATCTCATCAAGTAATCTTATTACTTTGAGATGCAGTTGTTCATGTGTGTGTTGTGTGGTGTGAATGTGTGCATGGGGGGGGGATGTCACACACATCAGGAGTGTGCCTGTATCGTCTCCTTAAATCTCAGAAGCCAACTTCACTTAAAGTGCTTTTACCCACGAACCCTGAATGATCCTAAAATACAAGACATCATACAATTCTGAAGCAGCAGGATCATCAGCTTCAACCCTGCGCTGCAATTGGCCCTCACGTCTGTCCGTAGGGGGTCTCAGCTGCTGATTGGCCGTGACCAGTTTTGAAGAGGGGGCTTCTAATCCTCTCCACACTCTCTGTGGGTGCTCTCGGGGCTTTTCCCACATAAATCAGTCTGGCCTGGGTGGTAAAGTCATCACGTCCACTGGGTCCACTCACACTGCCTGTTAGCACCCGTATCACATGGAGTGTGCTAACTCTGAAAGGCCACCGAGCATGAAAGGAGGGAGCTGGCTGACCATAACTGTGTATGTAGACTCCGCTTGACACTGTGCTGCTGTTATAATCAGAGACTGTGCGCAAAGGTGAAATCCTGAAAGGCAAACACAAGCTTTATCCCTCAAGAGTTCACCATGCCAAACTAAATTGTTAAAGAAATGTTATGTTATATTGACCCGTGTGACCCCTGTAGTGTACGGACACACTCCCCCGCTGTGTGAGTGCAAATTAAGCCTGTGTTCTTAAGGATAGGGATAACATGAGTACACCATTTTACCTCTCATCCATGGGTGGTCCCAGAGTTAGTCCGTTTCCCCCCCTGACAATGCAGTCGTACAGTACTATTCATATGCAGTTCTGGATAAAAGCTGCTCTGTCAGGAATGTGTCCCAATAGAGCGTGTTATCCCAAGGTATCAAATGCACAATGGGAGGAATCACTGGGTAATTTGTACTTAAAGGTGCTCGTACAAGGGCATTAAATGTGTACACGAGGAGTCACCTGCTATTTCTTCCAACTATGAGCTAACAACTGTTCAAAGAAGAGCTCCACTCTCTTTCCAGCAGAGAGCAGAGTTATAAATCCTGACCTGTCACATCTCTGTTTGTGTGATTGGAGATTCCCTCTGAGTCCTGTGCGAGAATTTTGTCACCAGGACTTCTACTCTCACACTTTCTCTCCAATACAAACAAACCCCTGACTTATTTGTCGTGTGTGTGTGTGTGTAAAGAATGAGTGAAAGAGGACGAGAAACATAAAAGTTAACTAAGCTAACAAGACATAACATATTGAGGACAGGAAAAAAAAACGTCCCTTTAAGAAACAAGATGCCACGGTTGTTCAGAGATAAGAATTAGTTCTTTCATTTCTGAAACAATCGAAGAGAGGTCGGATTTCCAGAGGGACGTGCCGAAGCAGCCACTTCCACTGATGAGAAAGAAGGTGAACTGTAATTTTCTTATTGGGTCTTTATATTCTTGAGTCAAGCAGCATAGACGTTAATCCTCTCAAACAAAACATTTTAATTTGGGAGTGACGACAACTGGAAGTCTTGTGGGCCAATCAGGTGCAGGCAAAGTGTGATGACACAGCAAGGTCGAGAATTCATTAACAGGAAAATGCAGCTTTACTGGAAAACCTGAGCTGTCAAGAGAATTTAAAAAAACAGTTTCAAGTTTAATCAAAACAGATTTTAAAGCAGTTCTGTTTCACTGTCTGTTCCTCCATTAGCAAGCATCAATAATGGCATTTGTATATTCAATACATTCTTGTGTTCATTGACAACAGCCTTGTGATATTCTGTTGTTAAAATCTTATTAGACACAATGATGCCAGCAGCTGTTTCCATGGAACGATCAAGACCTCTAAGTTTTTCAAAGGGATGAGCTACGCGCGGCATTTGTGGACTTTGAGTGCCAAGATAGGAGAATACTGTAAATACAACCTGTCTGTCCCTGAAGACACAGAGAAATCTCTCTCCCTGGGACGTCCTCCAAATGGAAGTCAGTCAAGATACTGCCATCATGCGTGAGCGCATCTACTGCATCCCCACGGGGTGAAAGACATGATTCACAGCCAGATGAAAACATAAAATATCTGCTTATTACACCCATTTGTGATTTAGATTAACTCCATCACACTTCCCCTCTTGCCTCAAGCTTTTACTTGCAGCCAGACACACAGTAACCCATAGCCTATATATCATCTTAGATACTAGCCGGCATGAGATTTTAAAGAGGAGTTGCAGTAATATCCAAATGCACAGAAAGAATACAGGGGGCAGTCTAATCATGTCATTGTGCACAAGAAAAACTCAATCAAGCCATTGAAAACTTTGCACTGCCCCAACTTTCATCACACGGTGGGTGCCAAGTGAAGCAGGTGTCTGTGAGGCCTAAGAAGCTCTTTTCACTGACCCCTATAGATGACGTCACATGCACTAACGAACTTCACTCCAAACCAGCCTGCTACATTCATGGCCCTACCCATGCCTGTAATTTATTCAAGGCCAGGAGCAGGAATAGTGCGACGGGGAGACGGTGGGGTGGCAGCAGTGTGCTTGAATATTAGTGTGCAACCCTCCCCTGCAGAGAGAAACTGTGTCATAATGCCGGACTCCTTTTATGATTCAAATCAAGGCTATTGTCTCTGTAAGCAACCGGCTCCGCTCTGTGTTCTGCAGAACAACTGAGGCACTATACACCGGCTGCAGAAAACGAGTCCACTGCCATAGGCTGAGGAGGTGCAGGCTCTGAGAGCAGGACTGAGACTCGGTACATGGGCCGCAGGGATAATAGGAATGTTGTCTGCCTCTGTGCTGCCATGTAAACACAATTCACTCGCTTATCTGCAATTCATCAACTGTAAACACGCAAACAAACAAGTGAGCTCGCACAGGGTCAGACAAAATACAGTCTACTATTAGAATACAGGTGCTACTTCTTTATGGGCATGATGTGAAGCTTTGTTGTTTGGTTCATGGAGTCTAAACAAAAGTTATTTTAAAGTTATTCCATTTTTGTTTTAAATTAAAAGCATTTGTAAGAGCACCACCCTCATTTTTTTTTACAATCAAACCCTGTTTAGTTTTATTGTCTATACAGATTCCACTTACCTTCAGAGTGTTGGTTTCAAAACAGGTTTTCTCTGGTTCAGGATTTACAAACACATTTTTCATGAGATGAGATGCCTGATCACACTGAGAAAATCTGTTTCCAACTTCACCTATTGAAGAAAACTAAATATTTTTGCGAAAGTTATCAACTGTGTCAATAAAACTTCATAGTTTTAATATGAACTAACTTAATTTCACCAGCTGAAGTATTTTTCTAAAAGTTGTTCCTACAGTTCTTTTTTTTCAGTGCAGTTTTTATTCTGGTTTTTGATACAGTTCTTCAGATTTCTGGCTTCTTTATCAGACCCATTTCAATACTATGGGTCCAGCAGTTTAAACATCACTTTTCCACAGACTTTAATTTGAAACACACAGAAATCAAATGTGCAGATTGTTGAGCAAGGGTCAAATCTGCCATGGCAGTTAATCTGCGTTTATTATAAAGCAGGAAAGGGCCCATTTCTGTTGATAGATGTGTCCCAGAGCAACTTGATGATGTGTGGAACTGTGGTCTCTGGATTTTCCTGTCCCAACTTTTTTAATATTTAGGGAGTGGAATATATCAAACTTTTCAGTGTGTGTGTGTGTGTGTGTGTGTGTGTGTATGCGTGTGTGTGATGGGGGTGTGGGGGTGATGGCGCTGGGACGATCCAGTGTGGAGGAGAGAGAGAGAGAGAGACAGAGGGGGCGGGGACAGGAGACGCTGGGACACATCGGGCAGGAAAAGTTAAGCAGAAGTTTCAGGAGGCGAACCGAGACTCACAGCAGCCGTGGCCGAGCTGCGGAGGATAACACGGGATTGGGAACTAACGCTACTTTTTCCGGCTAAATTAAAGAGAAAACCCCCATCGACTTTGGAGCCGTTATTTTTCTCTGAACTTAACAAAGGATGTATTTCTACTGAAAGAACCAACTTGAAACGCTGGAAACTTTTCCACCGAAATGGAAGGGAATATTCCATGGATTATTCTGTCATTTTTATTTTTCATGCATATTTGTGATGGTAAGTTTGTTTGTACTATTAAAGCTTGCAGCGTGCAAACTGGACAACCCATTCAATGTCCGGTGTCCTGGTCCAAATAGGCAAAATTTTACTTAACTGGCTCCCACTGACATCTTTGTGCCAAATTTAATTTTACGTTTACTTTTAATGTACTTGTTGAATGCAGCAGTTTGAGTAAAATGTATGTTATCAATGAACAACCATCAAAGTTTTCCAAAGTCCTTTTGAATAATTAAAGTGCAACAGATAACAGATTGCAAGTTTTTACGCACATCACGTGTCAAAATATTACGCACGCAGTTTTTTGTGGATACATTTGAATACTATAGTATCTTGTAGACAACAGGTTATTTTTGTTTTTACAAATTACATCTGATCTTAGCGCAGTGGTTGGTTTTGCTTTGTGGGAAAAGTGGAATGACTGTTCTGTGCTGCTCCACCGAGTGAACAAAACGCAGTGATGTTCCTGTCACATCAGCAGCTCTGTTAACGTTTGGGTGAAACGCGTTGACTTGGGCGATGAGGATGTTTAACCTCACAAGTTTCCAAAACTGCATTTAATGTAGGCCCCGTTCAGGAGGAAGGCGAACATTTGTTTAACCTAAAGCAGCGGGCGATGAGCCGAAGTCCCCGAGCTCTGGCTGAACAAAGGCCTTTCTAAGCAACTGAATATTTGTTCCCACGGAGCGGTTGAGCAGTGACTGACAGATAAATGAAGGCTTCTGAGACAAATTTTTTTTCAAGCAGGGATAAATCTCAGCATCATGCACATGTCAGCATGTACGTCCATCAAGGAAACACAAAGGTTTTTCTGCTTTTGACTAAGTAAACAACAAAAGATGCGGGTGTGTCTGCAAGATGCCACAAGTGTCCAAGGCCTGATGTCTGCTTTAAAATGTATCAGTAACTACAAAGGAGCATTTCCACCATCTTTTACTGAAAATAATGATTTCCCACACAAACACAGACCCTGATAATTGGACATTTTTTCTAGTTTGGCTGTGATTTACTTGCTGAATATTTTTTTCTCTTATGGTTAAAGTGGATTCAATCAAATAATTTGTCAATTGTGTGCTTCTCTAACCGATTTCTCCCAATTTTCACAGGGTTCCGTTGCATGGATAAATACAGACCTTGTGAAAACGGAGGGACATGCATAGATTCACCTTCTCGATGCATGTAAGTGGAACATAATGTTAAGTTGTACCAGGATAACACTTGTGGGCTGATGTTTCCATCCAACAAATAATTAAAAGTTTTCTCCTGCCACAATACTTCACATTCTCAGTTTGGGAAAGGCATTTGACCAAAGCAGAGGCCTTGTGTGTACACATGCTGCTATTAGTGCTGCTTTCCCAGTAAAGATTGATTCCCAGTGTCACAATCAGTCTCATATCCCACTGGCTGTTAATTTACAATATTCACATAACAAGTGGTGAAAGACAGGCACAAATTGATTAGGCCCCACACAGATGAGCATCAGCACGCCTCAACTTGTTTGGCTGCCACACTCATATCCTGCACCTGTTAAGGAGCTTTGTCAGACATAAATCATGACATTGTGCTGCACATGAGTAAAGCTTTTTTTTCCTGTGTTGCACAACCTTCTACAAGCAATAACAGTTAATTTCTAGGGTTTTTTAATAAATTATTTTTTGAGCTGTCTTCGTTTCCCGCCTGCTTTGGGCATTTTTGAGCTCTTGCATCTTTTGACAGTGTTGCAGCTTTTGTTTTCCAAATCTGAAGGGGGGGGGGGGTTGTGGGAACCTAGTACAATACTCCAGTTAAATAGCCTACAGTGTTTTGCCTGGGGGTCATTTGCCCCCTTTTAAAGAACCTTTTAGCTTAGGAAACAGCCCTCAGTGTTTCAGATGAGGCGATACAGTCATCTCTAGAACAAAAAAAAATCAGTGGTTGCCAGCTGCTTCCCTCCAAAAAATCGGCAGATTTATTATTTTATTGGAGTGGGTCAGCAATTTACCCTACAGTAGGGGTCAAAGTTGGGCCAGTACCATGAATGCGCTTTTCACAAGCAAAATAATACGACATAAGAATTTATAAATGCACTGACTAGCCAATGTGTAACTAGAGTCTGAGTCTAACTAGAGTTTGTGAAACAAGTAACCACCACCCTCATTTTTTTCAATCATTAGCTGGAGCCAAGTGAATGTATAATTTTATGCAGAATGTCTGACACATTTTTTTCTGAGGGTGTATAGATACATCACTTTTCTCCTGTTAGTGAAGATCAACATAATAATCTGATCTCATTCATCTTTTGTGCTTTGTGCACGTGTTGTGCGGTACATAGGAGTTGGTAGTCACTGCTCTGGTCCAGTGCCAAGAAAAAGAAGCCCTTTAAGTGCAAAGCGAGAGGTTTTCTAATGGAAGGGGACAAATGTCATAGCACACACTGAAGAATGAGTCCCATAGCAGGGCAGAGCAGTGGAGCAGAGCGTGGCCACATTAGAGTGGTCAGACCAGTCCGACACTGAGGTGAGTGGTGGAGCCTCCCCACCCTTTCCGCTGGGAGCCGACGGAAACAGGAGATTCAAAACAGCAGAAAAGATCCTTTCTTTCACCAGATACCTGGCTGTAACCCTGCACCATCAGAACAGAGGAGCGAATAAAGGCCCCAGCAAAACGAGGCCAGCGCGGAATAGAAACACAGACACGAATGCATATAAAGATACACGTTTTGGCATTTGACAGGAATTTGGTGAACCAGTGAAAAAAACAACCTTGCTAGAAATCACCACAGCGCACACACATTGGTCTGTGTAAGTGAATGGTCATCTGCTCCTGCTTCTTTCTCAGCCACTGTTATTAAATCTTTCTTATGGCTTCTAGCTTCACAAGTGACAGTAATACCATGTGGATGGGATGTCGGCTACTATTGTTACTGTCCCAGATACCCATGTATCCTCTGTCTTGTAGGCAAACAAAACTATAATACAACACTATGGCTGTAAGATGAAAGGAATCCCAGTGTTCTCATAGTAGTCTGTCTCGTTAGTTTCTGAGTCTGCCTCCTCCTCCACGCTCCCTCCTCAAGTGACTGGGTAAAAGTTACAGTCCAGAGTTGCTAATCAAGGATTACAATAGTAATCCTCTTGAAACTGTTCAAGTGAACAAACTTTCTGATGCCCATGTCATCTGTTTCAGTGACCCGGTAAAGCTTAGTTAATGCTTTTAGTCTGAAAGGGTTGATTACTCCAACCAGGCTCCATGACTGCTCCCAGTGCAGGCACTAACCGGCTGTAGTTGTTGCCTTCCTTTATTTATGATTGCAAATGACCATGAATGAGTGGTTGCATTCACTATTACTAAAGTGTTCAAATTAAAAAAGCAACATTGCACAAAAATCATTCCTACATGCTTGTTTCAAATCGAAACCAGACAAACAAAGGGTCACTGCAGCACCATCGAAAGAGAAATGGTGTAATTAAGGTAAAATGAGTTTGATAAAGCATTTCAGAACTGTGTGTATTGTGCTCAGAAAACTCTCAGTGTCTGAGTGTGTGAGCATGTTTGTGTGCACTAGTGGGAGTGTTGCTTTTACCAAACCAGGCTGTGTTTGAGGCCTGCAGATAAGTACAACGTGTAAGTGAGGTTTTGATGTTTTGCATTTCTGCTCTGGAGATGAAGTTGCTCAAATGCACTGGCTCTGCAAATCCCGTCATCATTATTCTGAAGATTCACATTTTCTTATCATTGCAATATGAAGTATATTCTCTGAGAGCCTGGTGTGATCCAGAGTTTTGAACTTGGCAGTGAAGGATTAATCGTGTGGCCCTCTAGGTGAGCAGTCAGGAAGTCCTGTTGAAGAGTCTTTGGCCCCTCAGCGCTGCCCTGTGAGCAGAATGTGCAGTGTAGAGAGGGCCACGGCGGCATGGCCAGAGGAGAGATAATTAGGCAGATTGAGAGGGTGTCATTCAGAGAGGATCCAGCTGGAGGGATCCGACTGGGGGCAGGGAACGGGTGGAGGGAGGCTGGGTAGGAAGCAGGGGGGTGGGTGGGGGTGAGACTGCGTAGAGGACAGCTGGTGGATGTTGTGATGGTAATCCAGTGAAGTCAGATCTTGACAAAGGGGAAGCATAGGGCCAGGTGCTGCCATTGAGCAGTCAGCTGCCCCCATACTGTGAGAGACAAGCTCGTGGTGGAATGAAGCTGGTAGCTCTCAGCCCCTCTAGCACATGTTGCTTCTCTCACAGTTCAGCAGCCAACACGTCCACACACTCTCTCTCTCTCTCACTCACAACTCTGCGTGTTGTCCCAGCTATGGCAGCTCATCCTGTGCCTCCCTTCACACAGTGGCAGGTTATGAGTAACCCTTTCCTCTCAGATCCCCTAAAACCGGATGGGAAATATATGTGAGGCTTCTCTGATGAGGCCCACGAATGGACACAGTGGTCCTCTATATGAATGCTTTGCCCTTGGCCTCAGTAGCAGAGTCACCATATAAATAGTGAGTGTTTTGTCATGACCCTCACTCCCAGCCACTTAGAATATAATTAAAGAGGACATTTTTGACTCTGATAGGGAGCAGCCTGTCCAGACATTGTCAAGTGCTGTTTTTCTAGTAAAATGTTTAATCTACCCACTTTATGAAAGACACATACTCTTAGAGTAACATTTTCTCTGGAGAGATTAGAGTTTCCGAAATGTAGCGGCGATTTGACTGTTTTGTCAAAATCAGATGAAAAATGCATTTCTGAGAAACACAGCTCACTGAGAAGTGGGAATCTACACACATGCCAAAGCACAAAGAAACACATTAGATTGTTAGCTTAGCGCAGAAACCTCAGGGCTGGTGTTTTCTTTGGCATCTTTATGGTGGATTAGAAAGGAATGCTTACTAAGATTCCTCCTGCCCCACTGGTGCTTTCAGGTTATTGTCCATACCTCTCATCCATTCACCCTGGTAGCCCCTTCAGGAATGCCTCTAACAATACTGTCAGCCTAGTCTCATGAAAAAGGGATGTAAAGAATGACTTGTTTGATTTGCAATTGGTTACTCTGCATTTTTGCGAGGCTATATGTAGCCTATATCACTCACGCTGCCCTGACAGACAGATGGAGCCGTTGCCGTGCTATTATCCAGGCACACTGATCCACTGCAGACCCAGTAGTTCCAATAAATGTATAGGACAGTGGTCATGTCCATGTGGAGATGAGTGCTATCAGACCAAGAGGTTACACCACCATAGGGAGGATGATTTGGATTTGTTGTGGCTTCTTCTCTCTGGGTCATGACTGGAGACTGGGAGCTGTGGTTCCCAGGCTCCATCACAGGAAGTTGTGCCTTCTGACCTCCCTGCTACGCACATCCTGTCTTATCAAAGCTTTCGCAGCTTAGTGTGTGCACCCAAGGTCTCCATGCTACTCAACCTTCTCTTCAACTTCTTCATTTCATATTTCCCATCTCTCAACACATGGCTATATGGTTCTTTATTACTTGGAAATCACAGATCAAAGTATGTGGGAATTTAAAAGAAATTGCATGCTCATTCACATGTCACATCAGGAAACTCATCATGTGGGATAAGTAATGTCAGTTTTGCTATTATTGTGAGTTGGCACAGGAACCTTCAGTTGGAATTTGTGCGTTATTATTCTTTCTGGAGTCAATGTATGTCTGAACCACAGACTTATGTAGGGATAAGCTCTTTCTCTGAAGTCTCATCCCCTGGCTGTTTGTTCTTATCCGGGAGATGGTGACCTCTGAGGAGACACTCAGGCAGACCTGATTGGAATAACTGAGGACTGTCAGCAGAATTTCCCCAAGTCTCTCCCTCATTTTAGAAGAGGAAGGGATGGGTCCGTCATTAAATGATTCAGGAAAAGGCATTCACTTTTCCACCAAGCACACTTTCCACAGACATCTTGATTTTAACCAGGCAGTATTTTGCCAGTGTTCACATGTCATAGTTTAAGATTTTTTCACTTTAATACTTTGCCACAAATAATAACTTTATTTAGAGCCCTTCTAGAAATCTAAGTTTCAAAGTGCTTTACAAAGGCAGCAAAACAAAACAAAGCACAGCAAAAGTTAAGCAATCACAAAAAGACACTATTCACCTGAAGGAATTCTAAAAGATTATTTTAAATTAATTAATATATAAAATCAGGAAAGAATAACTGATAAAAGTTTTAACAAGGGATTTAAAAGAGATCAT